TCTTTATTGTAATTATTTTACTCTTTACTTACATTTCTTTCCCTATATATTGTATTTTTAAATTTTAAGGTAAATAAACTAAATAGATAAATAAATAAAAGTTGAAATGTTTTCTGATTCCAATCGAATCAATGAAATTCAGAAGTCGAGACAAATTTTTTTATTTCCGCATCTGACAATATCGGGTAATAAAATCGGATAATAAAATTCTGACTGACGAGAAAAAATTCGGCTTTATTTTCAATGTTCAAAGTTATCAATTTATCTATTTTTTTTTAAATGTAATAAAAATATGATATTTGATCGATTAAAAAGTTCAATAACTTGCTGTTTTCTATGTTTTATCAATATATTAGTTATATAGAATATGTTAGCTTTTTTATAAATGGTCTTTGTGTATATATCATCAAATTATTCTTTTACATGACTAAGATGCACACTTGAGGAAATATTAAGAACAAGAATAAATATTAAATTTTGGATATGAAAATTTGGAACAAAGATTAAATGCAAACAAACAATGGACACAGGTATAAGAATATCTTATTGTGTGTTATATTTAATCTTTATTCGGAATTTTCATTTCTAAAATTCAATATTTGTTCCTATTCCTAAGATTTCTTCCATTGTGCGCGGAGCCTAAAATTTGGGAGGAAAAAAAAAATATAGCATCGACAAAATCACATCGGGCCGACTTACACTTTGGGGGGTTCCCTAACGAGCATCGAAAATTCGATTATGCTATATGTTCTATTCGAATTTAACGCGGTGACCGATATTGGGTGATCGATATTGAGTATCTTGAGCCGAGAGTATCTTTGAAAACGTCCAGCATTATTAATTTCGTGGCTTTCAAGCTTACTTTAAGATACCGCGTGAATCGGAAAATTGAAGATAAATAATTAATAAAAACTTACACACTGTACACAATAAATATGCATATATAACTCATTAAACTCGTTAAACGTAAATCCGTCGATAATCGCACGCTTCCTTCATCAGTATATTCCGCGCATCTATATACTTATTGGTTTCAATATTGGGACGACAAGAAAGTTTGTTGGAAATAGTATTGATCCCCTTCTTCGAAATACTCGGAAATACACCGGATCGGCGGTGGCGTCATCCCAGAATTAAACAGTTTCCGTTTTAGCATCGTCAACCAAACGCGGGATGCCGCGATGGATCGGGTGGCCATCCCGAGGAAGGATCGATCGGCGCGATATAAAGGTTAGGAGAGGAATCGGGATATGCATGTGAAATGTAAAAGGTCTCTCTTTTAGACCGCCGCCCGCGGAAAATACGTCTGATTCGGATTCAGAATAACCCATCGCTGCCATCGCCGCGAGGATAATCGATCCTCCGCGCAATCGAAGAGGTCGTCTCCGCGCTCCGCCTGGCAACCGCGTCAATACGCAATTACTTGGTCGACCATCAGCCCCGATTATTTATAAATCGGATCGGTCGGTACTGCTGTCCGTCTCTATCGAGATAAGTTATGAACCTGAGGATGCGAGGAGGCAGCTTGTCACCTCTTTAATCGGAAAAATCAAGGAAACATGTTTCGATCCTCGGAGTAAGCGTCGCGAGATTTTCATCTGCTTCCCTTAAGAAAAATTTATTAAAAATTTCAATTTAACAAAAAAAATCTAACTGTGACTCTTGAAAATTACAATATAATTGCAATAAAAAGGCACTAAAAAGCGTCAAAGCGCGGCTATTAGTGCGTGGTAATTTATTTAATAAGATACTTATTTCGCGTGTATTATTGCATGCAATTATTAAATTTCAATATTCTATTTTAATTTATTCAAAAATGTTATTTCTGTTACAGACCCTTAATTAAGAATGTATTATACTTTTTTTTTATTTACAATAAAAAAATTATGAAAAAATTATAATTATAGATCACATTTGAAAATAATACAGCAAAAGATTTTTACAGCGGTTTAGAATCTGGATAAAAAATTATTTAAATATAAAGTAGAAATGTGTTTGTGAATTAAATTTTTATTTGAGAAACAATTAATCTCTGCACCGCGATAAAACTACATAAATAATCTTGAATATTTAAAATATTTGTATAAAAAAAATTAAGATTTTTGTCATTACATTTCCTTGATTACATTTCCATTAGAGCACATTTCTACTTATTTGTTTAAATAATTTTTGATCCAGACTGTAAATGTCGCTAAACTTTTTTATATTATTTTTAAATAAAATTTAGAATGGTTAAGTTTTATAATAATAATTTTTTTATTTATAAGAATTATAAAAATAGATGTAATATAATAGTATTAAATATTATTTGAAAAAGTCTCCTGAATTTATTAAGATTCCATTCCCATTCCAAAGCCCATAAACTCTGTATCGTAAAAAACAATACAATCGTAAAAAGTTTAGTAATTAGTTTTATGTGATAAGATTTTACAGTTAGACACATGTATATTTAATTATTCGATTTTTTTTTGTTTTGTATTGTAATGTAATGAGTAATCAAAATTAGATGAAAACGTTCACACACATTTTATTTAATTACTTTGACAAATTTAAATAAAATATATATAACATATGCTTTTAATAAAATTTCTTTTGGAAGATGAATATGAATATGTGAAAATCAGATAAAATACAGAAAACGCGTGGCGAAACACTTTTGCAATGACAGACCAGATTAAAAAACGAGGATAAGCCGATGCTCCTCAATCAATCATGTATATGGTTGAATATTTTTATTTAAAAGCTCGCGTACTGTCATGCATGTTTTAATATGACATATAACTGAACAAACTGGCAAAGACAGAATATAGAGGTCATATAAATCGTTCATTAATAAAGCGTAGTTTCGATAATCACAAGTTAACAAGCATAATAATAATAATAATAATTCGACAACATAATATATTTAGTTATTAGGGAAATTCTTAGGATGAATTTTTTTCTATGCGAATATAAATAACGAATATGTTGCGGATAAATTTTCAATGTTGCGAGCGCACTTGGGATGAAGATGCAAAAATCGGATGGTAAAAAGCGGATCAAGCGAAAATCAGGCCGGTTAATGAGGCAGAAGCTCATTGAAACACGCGTATCGTTTTTCTCTTTCTCCCACGAATAGTTTAATATCGTAGAAGCACATTGACCTACATCTCGAACACACGTGAATCGGTAACGTGATCGACCTTCTTTTACAAAAGTCTCCGAGGGGTTCGTACAGTCCTTCAAAAGATCGATCGTTCAACGTTTGATCAGTTGTAATAAAATAAAAATAAAAAAAAAAAAACCTAATATAGTGCAAATATACGCGATATCGCATCTCCACCGTGTTATCTTTTTGGCAGAAAGTTTCTCTGACCATTGCATTATCACTTAACTGAAGATACTATCGAGATATCTATAGCATTCGATAATAAATTAATAAGACAGAAATTAGATCACTTTTTAATGATAATGTATCCGATAATAATAATAATTTCATCCTCATTTGTGAGAGACCACTAAATTGGGGGAGAGAGGGGGGGGAAAGGCCATAGATAAAAAATAATGGAAAATATAAAAATAATAGAAAGATCATTTTTAAGTCACACCATTGTGATAGGAATCACTATTTTTTTTTCTTTTTCCGATGATATTATTCCAAGGTATTCTGTACAGTGCGGGTACGCATATCATGCGATCGGATTATATTTTTAATTGCATCGGAAGGTTACGGACGTGCGCAGGTCGCGTGCGCCAAAGATAGCGGCGCGATTGCGTTACTAGTGTCACTATTTTTGACAGGAGTACGCTCTCATCGCTGACAACACGGAAGCTGCAAGTTAGCCTGATTTAACATTGTCGTTATAGAAACTCGATCTGTGTTCCGCACGAGATGAAACGACGCTTCTCGTTCTTCTTCTTGGGACTTTTTTTGCTCATCTCTCGCTCTCACGATATTATCATAAAAGATATTATTTATCAACGTAAACATCACATCAGGGTACAGTACGTCCCAATTTTAGGAATGGTTTTCACAAAGTTTCAAATTTTTTTTCCATTAAATTAATACAAGGAACTTTAGAAGATAACGATTGCCGGTTGAGTATCTTATGCGTACGCATAAATACTCAGATTTAATTCAGATGATACTATCTATTAATATTGTTACTATTATTAATATTAATTTATAATAATAATAATATTAATAATAATATAATATTAATTTATTTAATTTAGACGTATTAGTAGATCTCTACAACTGTGTACGGAGATGTAGAAAAGTAGAATTCTGAATATCGATCAACGTCTGACTGTCAAGTTTATTTCTGTTGAATGTGATGTAATAAATTACCAGTCGGGCACGAGTCGCGTTTAGGAAAGTCAAAGTAGAAGTTTGAATCATTACTGTCGCCTACTTACGCCTACTATCACCTACCATCGCGGCCGCTCGTTGTTGAGCGGCAATATCGCACAGATAATCCATCGGAATGGCAAATTATACCACGTCCTTGGGGACGTAGGCCACTCAGAGGCGTCTTAAATGTATAACGATATACTATTTCTTGCATGGAGTACATTAAAGCTTACAAATAAAATAGTATTACAAGTCTCGTACTCGTTATTATTAACGTTATTATTATTATTAACATATTAACATTATTGAGATAACGCATATATTATTACACATTATTAAGATAAAAAAAGATTGTTAAATTCCTACATGGTTCTTACCTACTATAATAGGACAGAAATGGAATAATTTAATTCATGATCGATACGATGCGTGATAGAATAAGATAATATGTTTATGACGAGACAACTTACTTAAAATAATTTCTTATTAAAATAATTATAGGAACAATTATAGAAAAGCCCTTTTCACCTTTATTCGATTTATAGAAAATTATCATTCACTTTTATGGAAAATTGAAAAAAATCGAAATTATGCTTTATACAATTACAGAGGAATGTTATTAATTATTATAACTATTGACATTTTTAAATAGAATAAAATATGAAAATTATGTTAAAGATGTTGCTTTATTCATTCAAACTATATGATTTAACTCCATATATAGTTTGGTATATCGATTAAAAATTATGCAAGCGTTATGCAAGTTCAAGGCGATAACGGTTTATCTTGCACAGTCCGGCGCATGTGGATTACATGGCGAGATACATGATTTATCCTGTGCCGTTACATAAATTGCCTTGCCAATGAGCAAGTACGCAACACGAAGAAATATTTATTAAACACAAGTGCAATTAGGCCTTTAGGTTATCTACAAGCAATTAAACAATTAAGTAGACCTTGTTTTCAAATATATGAAATTCTTAGATTTTCAACGTTACAAACAATTCTTAAGTATTTGTAACTATAATTATATGTAACATCAAATATCAGATGTCGAATTGATCGAATTCTTTTTAATTAAATGATGAGTCACATTAATATTCCTTGCACTATTCGCCCCACGCTCATTACTTATTTATCTATTTATCTTTATTATTCATCAAATAAAATTTAAGTTGAATTAACTGTCAAAAGACAAAGGTTCGTTTTAAAAAACATAAAATATTAAAAATGGTTTTTCAATACATTTCAATGTTTTATTTATGTTTTATTTATGTTTTATTTTTATTTCAATGTTTTAATTTCTCTTTTTCTCAACATCTCTTAAAATTCAATTTTCTACTTTAAACATCAGTGTGAAACATCAGTGAAAATATAAGTGAATATTACCTGTGGTAATTTTTTAAGGACCGAAAGGTCCCTTTAATGACGTTACGATCTCGTGATCGCATTTGCCGCCTTTTAAATCCGGCTTAATGTATCGTAAGCACATATTGCATCTAGTGTACTGGATCAATGTGCGTTAACATGTACGTAAATCAAACGCCAAAAATGTAATACATATATAATCAGATTTTCAGGCGCGTAACTATAACATAGGCGTAGTCATTGGATTGCGTCGACACGACTATGATCGCGAACGACGAAAATAATCATCGCGAAGATAATTACACGTACGTTTTAATCAGTCGTGAGATAGTATATTATTATTAATTAAAATTTTCCCCCCGACATTAATTACAAAATATTTATTACTTAAAAGAACTTCCTACGATAAAATTTTTTTCTGTATTTTTATGAAGCTATGCTTTGTCACACGCAATGCAATGTACCAATACAATATTACGTTATTAGATTTTTGCTGTCAATATAAATTATTATTTTCACTCCTTGATTTTTTTAAATATTCATACAGAATATATATATATATATATATATATATATATATATAAAACATTGTAATATTAAAAAAATATAATTTATATAAAAATGCTGGAGAATTAATGAACAATTTTAAATTATTCAAAAAGACCGAATGCAAATGTAATCTTCGTGAAATAATTAGCCGTTAAATCTAGATTGATCACTAATATGCGATATGTAGGTTAATGGAAAAGATTGATTAAAATTAAGCAAGACGAGTCATAAGTATATAATTACTTTTTTAATATGCTGTTAACGCAGCGCCTCTTCGCGGGAATGCTCTTTTGTAGTTTCATCACTCGCTATGGGGAAAAGTTCAGAGAACGATAGTTTTCAACCCCACCTTGTTATGAAAAGCTTGATTAAAACATGATATCCAACATTCATAAGATAATGAGTCGTCAAATACGCGCGAATCATCAAAATACATCAGATAAACTAACGAAGGACAAATTAACAGCGAGATATGTCGAATACGCAATCGTAGTGATTTTAACACACTATTATTCAATATCTTTATAAGTTGTCGAAGCACTAAGAATATTGCTAGACTTTTCTTGAAAAGTCACAGATGTAATTTCTTTCGCGTTGTATGTTTTCTCTGTAAATTCGCACTTTTACATTCATGTCTCGTTACTTTATCGACTTTGCTCGCAAATTCAAACTGCTTTATTATTTAAATGTAATATTCGCAGGAATATTGCTAGGAAAAAAAGGGCCATTAAATATCAATCGTCAAAATTTTTTAAGTTGGTTAATTCGGAATAAACCGCGTGGATTCACTCTGCCGTTGCTGATAACGACTACGTTTTACATTTTAACACACCATTTAACTCTTTACCACTCGGAGACTTTTCGGATCATTTTACCAGCAACTTGAATATATTTTTTCACAAAACAGTAATATATTATTTCAAATAAAATGATGATGATAATTATTCTATTTTAAATGATATTTAAAACAAAACTTTATTGATACTTCTATTAGTTACCTGCAGTTTTTTTTTTTCGTGTTCCTTTAGAAAGGACATTTGAGTCGTTTGACTCCCCCCCTCCCCCCTTAAAGGAGACACATCGAATGCAAAAGACTAATATTCCATATATTGTTCAAAGTATCATGTAGAAAAAATTGTATTATTTCAAAAGAAAACTCCGAAATAACGCAGAAATATTGTAAGAAGAAAAGAGACAACAATCTGAGTTTTTTTGTTTTTTTATAATTTTGCACGTTGCATTTCGTCACTTGACTCGCTTCGCCAGAAGGGCATAGGATATCTCAGACGAAGAGGGATTACTACGAGGGAAACGCGGAGGAGCGTAATATCGACTCCACCCTCAGAGGAGTCTCACGACTTTCGTGACATTCGTGACACTCCTTTTCGTAGAGGTTGTCAGAAAATACACCACGCGAAGACGAGGCGAGATTGACAATTGTCAGGGTGGAGTCTTAGAGACAGCGTGAAAAAAGGCGACCGCTTATATATCGTTCCTCCCTCCACCTTCCCCTCCGATGATCTCTCGCTTTCCAGAACATCCAGGCACTCGCATGCACAGTTCTGCATCCCATAGATGATTCGAGAGAAAGAGAAGAAGGTGAGAAGGAGAGAGAAAACGAGAGATATACACAGAGAGAGAGAGAGAGAGAAGAGAGATAAATGGGAGAAGAGGAATAACGGAGTAAACGAGTGAGGAAATAAGACAGGGACAAAGATGGACAATGGATCTGTTCCCTACGACTGCACCTTATTACACTCTGTACACCTCGGTAAATTAACCGCAACATTCATCAACTCACGTTTTTCCAATAAAACACCAAACGGATATCGTCAATCGTCGGAAGAGAGCGGAAAATATAAACTTGAAATGAGCAGGAGGTTAAGTAGCAGTCAAAGGAGCAGACCGTTTTTCCTTTCGATCGCACTTTAGGCCCGTTCTTTCCAGCTGAGTTTCTTTACAGTTCAACTTTTTTCTCCATTTTTCTCCAACAAAAAAAAAAAAAAAAGGAGCAGAAAGTTCAGATAAAAAGAACAGGCCTTTTGTCACGGCACGCTCTACGCGGTAGGTAACTGTATATTTAAAATCGAAAGGTAAAAAAAAAAAAAACCGCAATTGAGAAAATGGATTTTATAGTGAAAATCATGAAGAAGACAAAAGAGGGATAGAGAAAGAGGGAGGAACCGCGAGGGAAGATGAGGTTATGGTACTTACTGCTGATCTTCATGCCGCCGAGGGGCGGATTCGCGGGTGGCTTGTTACCCTCGGCGAAGGAGGTGGTTCTCGGTCGTCCGCTCATCCTGAAGCTGTCTCGACCGTCTCCACCCCCGCCTCCGCACCTACACCACCACGACTCGAAGAGGGTTTCGTCCCCCGCCGTTCCCTGTCTGCCCCGCTGCGCCTGCCGCGTCTCTACTAGGTTAGGTCGGCCGGTACTTCTCCGGCGATTCTCCTCCTCCTCCGCCGCCTCCGCCTCAAATTAGCCCCGGTAGTCACCGTCGACGTCGTTCTCCTCGCCGTCAGCAGCAGCAGCAGCAGCACCACCTCGCACATCAATGACAGTCACACACGCGATTATCACATCGCACGCGAGCGCGCGCTCACGCGCGCACTTTCTCGCTCTCTTTCTCTCTTCCTTTTCTTCTCTCACTTTCTTTGCTACTCCGTTTTCGTGTTTCCTACCTCACGTTACGCTATCGACGTTCGATCGGACGGACGGGGAGCGGAGAAGGAGGGGGAAGAGGGAAACCGTAGGAGCGAGGAAATGAGGCAGAGATGAAAGGAGAGACCGGGCGAGAGAAGCGAGA